CCCTAAGCACAGGGCTACAGGGTATTGTGGCATAGGGATGTCTCAGTATGGTTCAAGCTGTTCCAGCTTGTCTGAGGGTGTGTCTACACTACCACCCTAGTTTGAACTAGGGTGGTTAATGTAGTCAATCGAAGTTGCAAATTAAGCCCGGGATTTAAATATCCCGGGCTTCATTTGCATCTTACCGGGCGCTGCCATTTTTAAATCCCTGGCCCCTCTTAAAGCTGCAGGCACCCTGGACAAGCCTTGTGGCAGGAAGCCGGCCTGAGAGCAGCACCCTGACCATGCAGCTCTCCCTGCCACAGGCCTTGCCACCCATGGCGGAGCCACAAGCCTCCCAAGAGCGCCGCGGGCACGGAATCCGAACTACCGGGGATTTAAAAATGGCGGTGCCCGGCAAGATGCAAATGAAGCCCAGGATATTTAAATCCCAGGCTTCATTTGCAACTTCGATTGCCTACATTAACCACCCTAGTTCGAACTAGGGTGGTAGTGTAGACATACCCAGGGGAGGTTGTTGGGACGTGTACTCTGCAGGCTGAGCCAGAGCTTTAACTTAGGCCAGGGCCACTCAACTTTGGAAGCCCCGGGGGCCACAATGATATTCACAGCACATGCAAATATACGTGCAAATAACGTCTTTCACACTGACAGCCATAAATAATAAGGTTAAGGCAAGACTACCAACACACAGGCCCCATTTCAGTCAGTTCTGCAGATATTAATACAATGCAACATTGACCCGATTTTCACCCCCGTGACAGCACTTTTAATGAGCACTGACAGTCCAGGGATGTAACTACTGAAACGCCTGTCAACAGAAGGCCATTATAGCGACTCCTTTTTTGTTTTCTCTCCCATCCGTGGCCACATATGGAGTAGCCCTGACTTAGGCTGCAGCCCAACCTCAGCTTTGCCTGTGCACAAATTTACTCACTCAGTACTTGGACCCAGGGCCCTGGGACCCCGCAGGAGCAGAGGAAGGAGCCTGAGCCAAGCCAGAACCCTCTTCCTTGGCAGTGTAGCTGTAACCCCACTGGACTCTGGGGATCTGCCACAAGAACCCACCAGGGTGACTGTCTCTATCCACTGGACCAGTGATGACACCTGGGGAGGGACACAAGCTGGAAACCAGCCAAATGACTGCCCCAGCACGACTCTTGGCCCCCTCCTGCTTCTGCAAGGCCCCACCTCATCCTGTCCCCATCCCTACCCCTCCCCTAGGCACCTGCCTGCATGCCACCCTCCCTGCCCCACCTCATCCCACCCCGCCCCCCCCCCCCGCCTCTCCCCCCCAATCTCCCCCTCTTCCCATCCCTGCTCTGCCTCTGCCCCCTCCTCTCTTCCCTCCAAGCCCCCTCCCACAAGCAATGTAGCTGGGAGCCAAAGAAGTGGAGTGGACTGGGCTGGGTCACTCTGCTTCCCGCTGCCACCGGTGGGGGTGGGAGTGACCTGAACCCTGCTGCTGGCACCAGGCTCCGCACTAATCCCCTGGACCCCATGGGGCCCCCCAGAGCATGGGGCCCAAGGTGCTGGATGAACTGTCCACAAAGGCTTGGTGAATAGTCATGTTTTCCCACACTGCTCCATGCACAAACGGCTCGTGTGGACACGTTTGGGGAGAGCGCTAGGAAGCCTGGAATGGGGGGCTGGGGTTTGGCTTGGGCAGTGCAGATTCTGGAACCACAGTTGGAACCTAGAGGACAACAGTTCCAAACCTGGGGTTACAAGTGAGTGTAGCTACTCAAGTGTTAGATTAACAAACCCAGGGCCTGCGGATAAGAGCTCTCCTCCCCAGGCTCACGTTGCAGTGCAGGCACACCCAGTGGGCACCTGTGGAGAGGGCTTAGAACCGGGAGGCAGAAAAGCAGAGTTTTGTTCCCATCTCTGCCACTGCCTTCGCTATGTCAGCTGGGATCACCATATCACTTCTTTGTGCCTTCATTTTCCTGTCTGCAAAAGGGAACTAATGATTCTCACACTTGGGGAGAGCTCTGAGACTAGATGGCCAAATATTAGTGTTAATTATGCTCTCATTACACTGGTGGAAATGAAGAGTAGCCAGGTCACATCACTGGCCTCTAATCCGTGTCCCCATTCCTCTTGCAAAACATCAGACTACTGGTCCATATATGGCAGTACCCTGACTCCTGACCATGATGGATCAGCTCTCTCATCTTTCTAGTGCAGAGTCCCTCTTTGGCTGTGGCAGTCTCAGAGGAAGATGGAAACCTCTGCAGTGCACCTGGCTGTGTTATGGGGCACATGGCTTCCTCGTTATTATGGCTGGTTCTCAGCTTATGTCCTGAAGCATAAGGACTGGTATCTCTGGTCATCTGAATCCTAGCTGGTGTCATTAGTGTTGCTGCCACCCTTAGTCACATACAAACACTGGATTTTTTTTTTCCACTCTCTGATCTATTCACATCTACAATGCCTTGGAGCAGTGAGTTCCACAGGTTAATTCCATATGACATGGATATAGATGCAGGGCTCTGAGATGTTATGCCTGGCTGTGTTTCTCATAGGCTCCATGACTGCGGGAGGGAAAAGCAGAAAGTCTATAAGAAAAGCAGAAGTCTTTAGAAAATAGTCCGTGCTGAGCTGACACTAGGGCAATAGAAATGTTTTTCTCAATGGATCCTAAAGAAGTTTAGCAGAGACAGTTGGTGATCTTGGGAGAGTAGGGTGGGAAAGAGCATGATTGGCTGCAAGCAGAGAGAGGTCTGAGTTGGGGTCTGAATGTGGAAGGAGGTACGATCCAGGGTTTAGAATCCAGCCTGCTGCTAACTGGCAAGAAAGTACCCTGTTCAGGAAGCTGGGCAAGGTGGTGGAGGAGGGAAGCTCCACGTGCCCCGAAGGGGAAGGGCCTTGGGCAGAAAGGGCCAGTCAGCCCTTAGTGCTGCCCTGGGCTCCAGCAGCAGTGGCAGCAGCAGCCAGAAGGAATTTTAAAATGGCGGGAGCAGCCAGAAGTAATTTTCAATTGGCGGGCCCTGGGGAAGATGCCCTCTTTGCCCCCCCACACCACACAAATGAACTCACATCAGTAGGCCTGGGCCTGGTATAGAACGAGGTCTAACGTCACCTTTCGATCCCTTCCCTCCTACAACATCTGAAGCGAGGCTCGCATATGATGAAGATCTCTCATTTGATAATATCATGTATAAAAGTGGCACTCTTGGCCCAGTGGAGACCATCCGGAAGTACTTCCCGGAGACGTGGATTTGGGATTTAGTTCCAGTGAAGTAAGTGATGTTTATGGGATGTGGGGAATGTGGTCAAGTGGGCTGCACAGACACTCAGAAGTTATTCACATGCCATGGGAAGTGCTTTGATCCTTCTGTGACAGGTGCAGTATCGACCAGAGATAAGGGTGAGGGGTGGATGGGTAGCTGGAGGGAAGGCAGGAAGTAACTAATTCTAATGTACCACATCCACTCCCTCTCCTCTCTGTAACTGAGAGGCAATTCATTGTGTGGATCACAATGGACAATCCCCTATTAATTGACCTGCCTCTGCAGGGAGTGTGTGTGTCAGAGGGAGGTGTCATTGGTTTTTGTCCCAGCTCTGGCAGAGACAGTGCTATGAGCTATGCACCTCATCCCTGTTCTGTATCCGTGTGTCTGAGGGATTTTCTCAAACCACCCCCCCACCTGCCAGTCTTGTTAGTTGGATGACTGTTCTATGGAGCTGAATGTAGGCTGGGATGGGAGGAATTGCTCTGCAGCGAGTCTACAAGAGCCAACCCGCATGGACATGCTCAGTGCTCCCGGGAGACCCTGCAGCTACAGAAGTTGAGGAGGGCAATTCAGATGCTATGAGGGACACGATGTTCTGCCAGAGGTACACAAGTGGAAAGCCAACGCCTTCTGCACCTCGAGCGACACTGGCTTTGGCCTGTCCCCGACTGTGTCCCTCAGAGCCTTCCAGCCCTTCTTCTTGGAGCTCACCCTGCCCTACTCCGTAGTGCGCGGTGAGGCCTTCACGCTAAAGGCCACTGTCTTCAACTACCTGGGCCGCTGCATCAGGGTAAGGGACCCTCGCACTTCTGCTCAGCAGGGGCAGGGAGGAGACCACATGGGCCAGATCCAGCTCAGCGTCCCATCCAGGGTTTGTAGCTGGTTGGTCCCTTGGAAAGTGTCTTATTACAGTGGTAAGAAATGGGTGATGGAAAGGAGGAATCTGATTGGCTGCTAGGTGTGTATTTCTACAGGGGTACAGAGCAGGTGCAGGAAAGAAGAAATCTCTTGAGATGTTTGCGAGCTGCAGATATACCTGAACCCACCTTCCTGTGCAGCTGGAGTTACCTGGCCTTAAACCTCCTATGCCCATCTCATGAGCCCATGGCAAGCAAGGGACTTGGGGCACCCACACATTGTAAATCCCCTCCCCCCAGCAGAGACCCCGGCTTCCTGGAATGGACACGTGTGCTTGGCCTTTGGCCTCCTGCTGCACAACATCCCCAGCTGCCTACAGCTGCTGGGAAACTCTCTGGCCTGTCATGTCCAGTTGCATCTATGGCCCCACTGCCTCTTGTGTATTCCTGCTCCAACACAGGCGTTGGAGGGGACTCTGGAAGGGGTCACTGCAAGACCGGGGTGGTTTTTCTCTCTGCTTTTATGTCAGTAGATTTCATTCTAGATAGTTTTCACTGTGTATGTTGCTATGGCTACCATGACATCTGAGTAGACACTTGCTTTTGTATATAAGGATTCGGTATTAAGTTTCCAAATGCTCCTAAGTTTACCAATAGCTTCACTCACTTTACTGGTCCTTATTCTTATTTGCTCAGAGCATGTACTGTTTTGGCTTATTGTGTTTCCAAGATATTTGAATCAATTGGCCCTCTCTAGCCGTTCCCTGTCGATTTTGAGTTTTCAGTCCGTACGCTCAGGGAACAGATGCTAAGAAGTTAGATGCTTTTCATCAGAAGTGTTTGCAGAGAATATTAGGAACAAGCAACGAGGGAAGGAAAACAAATGACGAGGTCAGAAAAATGGCTAAGGCGAGGTCTCGACCACAGATCTTTTGTAAGAGAAGACGTGGATGGGTAGGGCATGTGTGCCAAACAAATCGTAACCGATTCTCTGTTATGGCTCTCAGTTGGCAGCCAGAAAGTCCAAGACAGAGGGGCAGAGCCAGGATGACTTGGAAGCGTGTGATTATCAACCACAGAGAGAAATGTAGTTTGAAATGGGAGGCCTTAGGCCACATGGCAGCTGATGAGCAAGTCTAGAGAATGCGGGTAGCCCAGTGCGCTGGAAAGCTCAGGATGGGCTACAGTCTAAGGTCATTCTAGATCAAGTGAAGCAAGAACAAGCTCCGCTGTTCATCCACGTCCCCCCGTTCCTTCCCTGCCCCTTGCTGTGCTTGCTGATGCCCCCAGTTCTGTTCTCTCTCAGCTTCCCCAGACAGTCCCTCCCCCACTTCCAGCACTTTCTCTCTTCCCCTCAGAAGACACCAGCGGGCTCTCACTCATACCAAGGTGGCAGATTTGGGGCCACCACTTTGTCTTTCTTCCCCCGACTGGCCCTGTGTCCCTCAGGCCCTGCAATCACCTGTTTCCTCAGAACCATTCGCCCAGCTCTCTGCCCCTCCTCAGTCTCTTGCTCCTCTCCAAGCCACAGGACCCTTCAGCTTTCCCTCCCCCCTGGTCCCTGCCCACCAAATCCCCATGGCCTCCAAACTCCCTGCACCGTCCCATCCCCATTTATTCCCAGCCCCTCGACTGCCTCTCTCTGCCTGCCTGGTGACACCTCTCTATCCAATTGACAGGTCAGCATCTCGCTGGCTCCATCTGCCGACTTCCAGGCTACCCCTGTGGAGAACGAAGAAGAATCTTATTGTCTCTGTGTGAATGGACGGAAAACAGCGTCGTGGGCTGTGACCCCAAAATCACTGGGTAAGGGACCTGGCAACTCCAAAATCTCAGTATCGGGCACTAATGGCCGGCTCCAAAACCTCTGTGTGAGGGACCAAGTGGCTCCAATATTTCTGGACAAGACAGTGGGTGGCTCCAATCTCTCTGGAAGAGTCTGATCTGCTGTGAAAGGAGGTAGGCCGGCTTTGTGGTTGAGGCACTGGACTAGACTGAGGAGACCTGGACTCAGTGTCCAGCTCTTGGGCAAGTCAGTGTCTCTGTGCCTCAGTGTTCCAAACTGTAAAATGGGCATCATACATTCATCCATGCATGGGAGGTGTCCAGACACCATTGGGCAATCAGCAGTGTGGCAAAGCAGCACACCATGCGAATCACATGGACAGCCTGTACTGCGATGCCCAGCCAAAGGTTTCCTCTTTGCTTCAGGTAATGTGAATTTCTCAGTGAGTGCTGAGGCCCTGAGGACAAATCTGCGCTGTGGGAATGAGGTAGTGGAGGAACTGGACAAAGGGCGGAAGGACACGGTGATCAAACAGCTCTTAGTAGAGGTAAGGAGTTATGTGATGGGGGAGGGAGGGGTCACAGAAGACCTTTTGGGGATGCTTCCCAAGGTGCTGACATGGCCACTGCCACTCACCTTCTTGCTCTCTGGGGCTCTGTCTACACTGGCGGGTTCTTGTGCCAGAAATGTGCAAATGAGGCTAAGCATGAAATATCGTCGAGCCTCCTTTGCATACCTAATGAGCCGCCATTTTGCAGAAGAGGCTCTTGCACCAGAAGGAGCACTGCCCCGTCTTGCTCAAGAAAAACTCTCTTGCGCAATGCCGCTAGGTATGCAAAGGAGGCTCGGCGATATGCCATGCATAGCCTCATTTGCATATTTCTGGCGCAAGAACCCACCAGTGTAGACATAACCTGGGGCTTCTCCCCATCCTGTCCTGCTGGGCCAGCAATGCCGCTAGGTATGCAAAGGAGGCTCGGCGATATGCCATGCATAGCCTCATTTGCATATTTCTGGCGCAAGAACCCACCAGTGTAGACATAACCTGGGGCTTCTCCCCATCCTGTCCTGCTGGGCCAGCTCCCTGTTCTCCCCCAGCCAAGGCCCAGAGCTAAGATCACCGCTCCACCCCCTTAGGAGCAGGACAGATACTGAAACTCTTCAGGCCCAAGGAAAATGCAGTTTTGAGCCCAGCTTCCTGGGATACCACTCCCCAAATGGGATCAGACCCCACATGAATTATTTGGGGAAGCCCCCTTCACAATGAAAGGAGGAACGTGCACACTGGTTGCTCCTCCAGGGAACAAGTATTTACACTGGGCTTGATAATAAATAAAAGTGATTTTTATTAAGTACAAGCAGCAGGATTTAAGTGGTTGTAAGTGAGAAGAGGTTGCACCACAACCCTCAGACTCCTCCCATAGCCAGCACCCCTTATCCCTCCTGCACCCCAAGTCCTAGCCTCAAGCCCCCTCCCGCATCCAAGCTCTCTCCCAGAGCTTGCATCCTGTCACCCTCCTACATCCCAAGTTCCACCCAGAGTCCCCTCCCACACTGCCAAACCCTCAGCCCCACCCCAGAGACAGTACCCTCTCTCAAACCCCAGCTCCCTGCTGAAGAGAAGGAGGGGTGGAGTTAGTGGGGTAAAGCTTCAGGGAAGTGGATCTTTGCCCATGAAAGCTTATGCTCCAATAAATCTGTTGGTCTATAAGGTGCCAAAGGACTTGTTGTTGTTTATGCAGATTCAGATTAACATGGCTACCCCTCTGGTCCTTATAAATAAAGGGTCAACCCTAGCTCCATTATTAATAAACAAAGGGAGTTTGGGGATTTTCTCCAGTGCTTCCCACTCTCCATCCATGGTATTGTAATTTAAATAAATTATCAGAATAATTGAAATTGATATGCTTAGATGTCACCATTCTGACAAACAAAATATACAGAATTCTAAAATATTGTATGCAGAATTTTTAATTTTTTTCATGCAGAATTTTCCCAGAAATAATATATGGTATAAAGAAAATGATCAATTGTTCTCCATGTTTGCCAAGGGTAAGACAAGAAGTAATTGCATTAGATGGCAGCATGCAAGATTTAGGTGAGATATTAGGAAAAGACACCATGTTTTCCAGTGTGCTATCGCCAAGTAATCACCCATGGAATAACGTTGCAATATCCTCCCCTTGGGTGCAAGGGTCAACAACTTCTTAGAAGCCAATTTCCGACCATTATCTGCTGGCTC